AGAATTATTAGTACAAATGCAGAAAAACACAAGAATAAAACATGGGAAACCATAACAGTTCACAATGTTAGGTGGGTATCCTAATATATAAAAGCCAATGTGCGCACTTCTCTCTCTTTTTCCGCAACATTATTTTAGGCTATGAGATCAGTATCTTCAGCAATATATGGAGAACTTAATGATACAGACTTGTTGAAAATAATATGTTGGATGTTTTAAATGTATAAACTAAATTTTATTAAAAAAATGAAAATAAAAATAAAGACATATTCGAATGTAGAAACACATTTTTAAAATTATGGAACTGGAAAAGTGTTTATTGTTGTGACAAGAACCCAAAGAACAATGACATCACATGTCACATGTTTAAACTGCGGAAAGTACACAAAACTAATGGCGTCATCTTCCAATTTTAGAATATGAAGAAATGAACTATTTCATTCAGATTTGATTTATAAAGGCGTACACTACGAAATTTAAACAATTTTCTTGGCACAAACTAATAATAAAAAATTACTTAAATAACAACGTAAATACCATTGAACAACCGGGTTTTTAATTAAATCATTTAAGTCTTTTAATCAGTGTGTGCATATAATTTGGTTTTAATTTTTCTAATAGTAGCCTATGTTATTTTAATTGTGTGGATTTTTAGTTATTTCTTTGCTTTTTCACTAAAATTGTTCAATGTGTAATTAAGCACAATGCGTTTTTACCAATAACTATTTTATAAAATATTTTTCTCAAACAAGTATAACATTAAAAAACAATGGGCCTATAATTCTCTTGTAACTGGTACCGATGGCTAATAAGGTAGATATTGAAAATAAAAGTAAATTTTAAAAAAAAGATACAAATGAGATATAAACATTTTTCATATGTCGAGGTCACAGAAACAAGTGAACTCTACTTCACTTGCCCCCATAGACTGTCAGGTTTGAAAGGGAAACTTTACTTTACATCTGTTGGAAGTTAAACAATTTTATAGTGATATTTTAGATTTAGCCCCTTGGTTTCGTACTTGATGTAAATCATTGTGATTTTACATTTTTTTCTTACTGACTCAGGCAGAATTTTTAAACTAATAAATGAATTATAATTAGAAAATTCTATCTTTCAAAAAAATAAATTACACATTTTTTTATTTTAACAAACAAAGACTGTAACAGTAACTTAATTTTTTTTCTTACACTGCATTAACTACTGTGTGGACAATTCTAAACTGAATTAATACTTTGTTATACATATAAACTGATGGAGCACTAACTAAAAATGTAAAATACAAAATAATTTTCAATATTTAATTAACATTGAACAATCAAACAAGTAATTCCAACAAACACCTTATCATTTGATAACTTGAAATTTTAACAGCATTTATGTGCATTCTGGGCCAGCATGAATAAAGATTTGTTTAAATAATAAATTCTTGTATGTAATGTTTAATGTAATTTAACATTTAATACTGTGAAATACACATATAGTATAGATTGAAATGTAACATTTATGAATGGATTTAAAATGAGCTTTGATGGAGTAAAGATCTTAGACCTTGTGTTTAAAGTGTAGGATTTGAATGAGTTTTTGTATAGTAAAGATTTTAGGTGCAATGTTGTTTTAGTTGTGTTTAAAGTGTAGGATTTGAATGAGTTTTTGTATAGTAAAGATTTTAGGTAATGTTGTTTTGGTTGTGTTTAAAGTGTAGGATTTGAATGAGTTTTTGTATAGTAAAGATCTCAGGTGAAGATTTTTTTGTATTTGTGTTGACAGTGACCATGTGGGCAACTACACAGAGACAGAAGCTGTCAGCACCACTGACCTGTCAGATGACCGCGCTCTCCTCACCTCGTCCTGTCTGTCAGGCAGTGAGCCTGGGGTGCGGTACTTTGACTACCAGCACACACGGTACCTGTGGGACCAATCCAAGTCATCATTCAGGCAGCTGGAGTGAGTTGTAGTTGTTGTTGGTGGGGGTGGGGTTGTTGGGCTGGGGGTGACCATTTCAGATGTATGTACTCGCAGATACAGTTTATGTGGGGGGGGGGGGGTATTGATTGATTCAAATGCTGCTTGTTAAACTGTTATTTTAATTTTTACATTTTTTTTAAACTTTAGAAAGTTGTATTGATGCATGTAATGTATTATTTAGTTCCATTAAACAAGAAACTTGTATTGATGCATGTAATGTATTGTTTAGTTTCATTAAACAAGAAATTAGTATTGATGCATGCTATTTGTTCTCTAGAGATTTGTCAAGTCGAACAACCTGTCAAACCTTACATGAGCAGTTCAACGGTTTCTCAAATGCACAAAGAGCCGCAAGGTAACAAGGATTTTTTTTTAATTATTGAAGTATGAGATCACACAATAAAGTGAACAGAATAAAAATAACTAGTAGAATAAATTGTGCTAAAAATTTTTTTTTAGAAATTATAAATAGTTTATTAATATCAGTTTTAATTTTCACAAACAGAACCCACAGAATCAGAATTGCTCATATTTATAACTAGTTTAATATAATTTTTTTGACACTGTTAATTGAACTAATTTTTGTTACTGAATTGATACATTTATTTACCAATGCCCAAATAAAAATAAAAAGTAAAAATTTGAAATATGACTAACATTTTTTTTACTAGACTACGTTTGTATGGACCAAATACAATGGAGATAGAAATTCCATCTTACTGGAACCTGCTCATTGGAGAAGTAAGTTGTGGTTTCTTTTCATCAGTAACTTCATCATTACACTATACCCGTTAAAAAGTATTAGTGTGGTTTAGTACATCAATATAATTAAAGTGTTCCTTCCCATAAAGCTTGAAACTGTGAAACATTAATTTTATTACTGACTAGAAAATAAAATTTCATTTTCATGTTTAAACAATAGAGCAATCTTTATTTTTTTAAACCTTTAAATATAGCAAACTGCTATAGTTTATGCTAGAATCTAGAATTTGTTTTCTAATATTTATAAATGTTACAATGCGAGTTTTCTTTTTGCAGGTGTTGAATCCATTCTACATATTCCAAATTGCTAGTGTAACTCTATGGTCAATAGATGAGTACTACTATTATGCTGCCTGTATATTTTTCATCTCTGTCATGTCTATTGCAATCTCTTTACGTGAAACTAAGAAGGTATGTGCCAACACATTTTACATGTGATGTAGTGGTATGGGCTAATACATTTTACTTGTGAAGTAGTGGTATGGGCTAACACATTTTACATGTGCATTAGTGTTATGGGTTAACACATTTTACATGTGATGTAGTGTTATGGGTTAATATATTTTACATTTGATGTAGTGGTATGGGTTAACACATTTTACATGTTATGTTTTGTTATGGGCCAACACATTTTTCAGCATTATCTTTTAGACTCCATTAATGATATCATTTTACAAACTAGTTTGGTTATATTTATGAACTGAATTAAAAAATATATTTTGCAATAGAATATAAAGTTTGATGATTTGTTTGTGTAGTATTTTAGGTTGCCCCTATGTAGCACTGTCAGTTTAAAATAAAGATTACTTTAAAACTTTCAGCAACGAGTAACTCTGAAGAACATGGTGGCTACAGAAGAAATCAAAGTGGAAGTTTGTATTGGAAACAATGGTTAGTTTTAGGCTTGATCAGATGTATAGTGTGCTGTTGTCTTTTCTCTAGTGTTGTGTTGACTTGCTCTTGTGATGTTGTTTTATGAATGATGTATCTCCTTGTTCAGTGACCCGTGTAGCTAACAGACTTATGACTGATATATTAACGTTTCCTTTTCTGATGACTATTGTATCAATTTGATATATTAATTTTCTTTCCCTGATGTTATGTATCACTTTGTCTGATTGATAAAATACAACTTATGACATGTATAACCTTGTGTGATGATAGTTATACCAACTGTACCCTATAACTATATACCCTATATACTGCACAGAATTTGTAGAGAAGCAGGAGCATGAGCTGGTACCAGGAGATCTGATAGCCATCCCCGCCCATGGCTGTATCATGACCTGTGATGCTGTTCTCACTGCTGGCACCTGTATAGTCAATGAAAGCATGCTCACAGGTAAACTTTTTATAGTCAATGAAAGCATGCTCACAGGTACATTTTTTATAGTCCATGAAAGCATGCTCACAGGTACATTTTTTATAGTCCATGAAAGCATGCTCACAGGTACATTTTTTATAGTCAATGAAAGCATGCTCACAGGTACATTTTTATAGTCAATGAAAGCATGCTCACAGGTACATTTTTTATAGTCAATGAAAGCATGCTCACAGGTACATTTTTATAGTCAATGAAAGCATGCTCACAGGTACATTTTTTATAGTCCATGAAAGCATGCTCACAGGTACATTTTTATAGTCAATGAAAGCATGCTCACAGGTACATTTTTTATAGTCAATGAAAGCATGCTCACAGGTACATTTTTATAGTCAATGAAAGCATGCTCACAGGTACATTTTTTATAGTCAATGAAAGCATGCTCACAGGTACATTTTTATAGTCAATGAAAGCATGCTCACAGGTACATTTTTTATAGTCAATGAAAGCATGCTCACAGGTACATTTTTATAGTCAATGAAAGCATGCTCACAGGTACATTTTTTATAGTCAATGAAAGCATGCTCACAGGTACATTTTTATAGTCCATGAAAGCATGCTCACAGGTACATTTTTTATAGTCAATGAAAGCATGCTCACAGGTACATTTTTTATAGTCAATGAAAGCATGCTCACAGGTACATTTTTTATAGTCAATGAAAGCATGCTCACAGGTACATTTTTTATAGTCAATGAAAGCATGCTCACAGGTACATTTTTTATAGTTAATGAAAGCATGCTCACAGGTACATTTTTATAGTCAATGAAAGCATGCTCACAGGTAATTCTCACCTTGGTTTTTTACACACTACTTATAGAGGGATGGAATGTTTTTTAATAGAGGGAATAGTTTTATGCATATTATGGTCTTAATATTCATTTGGTTCTTATTTATAAAAAAAAATTGGCTTAGAAAATGTACTTATTAATATTTTTTGAAGTGAGGTAAGTTCATAACTGCATACAGAATTTAATTGGTTTCATAAGCAAAATTTTTATTTTAAAAATTTAAGTTTTTGGATTTTTCGGATTGTCTTTTTAGAATTTCAATCCAGAATTAGTGAAGTGTGTAATAAAAAATTAGTTTAAAATGTACCAGTGACAAAAACTCCCCTGCTATTTTGTTATTACTTCTCTTTAAGCCCGTAATTATTTTCACGTTTACCTGAATTATTTTAAAAATTTAATGTTTTTAGTACCCTTGCGGTCAAACAACTCATATCTTTTTACTCGCTGATTTAAAACCCACACATTACTAATATAAATTAATCACTGAACGGCATTCGGCAGTGTTTAAAAACTGCAGTTTTGTAATACTCTTAAAGAGTTAAGGTAAAGTACATAAAGTCCTCCTGTATTGAACCTGTCAACTATTCCATTGAAAAAGGTGAAAGTGTACCAGTGACAAAGACTCCACTGCTGCACCAAGAGGATGAGGAAATCTACTCACCTGAGATCCACAAGCGACACACTTTGTTTTCTGGCACACGCATCGTACAGACACGTTATTATGGCCAGGCCAAAGTTACAGCTGTTGTTGTGAGGACAGGTATGTATGGTGCTACATCTACTCTCACTTAAGTACTCTGTCAGATAGAAATCTATAAGGCAGATCAAGTAGACTTGCTGTTTCTTTGGTTTGTGGGTCAGCACTATGCCCAGAAATCTTTATTTTACCCAACTCTTTTCAGGTACTCATGAGAGCTTGTAGTTGTATTCTGTAACAAAATCTATCTGTCCCTTATAGTTTCAAAACCTAGTCCTCACCACCTTTACAGTCTACACAATTTTACAACTATCTTTTCATTGTAGTATATTCAGTTGAGTTGATTAAAGTTTTATTTTTCCTCTAAGGTTTTAACACAGCAAAAGGGGAACTTGTGAGAGCTATCTTGTACCCAAAACCCCTGGACTTCAAGTTCTACAGGGATGCCTTTAGATTTATTATATTCCTGTCTGCAGTAGCATCCCTTGGAATGATTTACTCCCTTGTCACCTACATTAGGTATAAGGTAAGGGATGACTGGTAATGGATTTTAGAGATTTGTACTGTACACTAGTCACCTACATTAGGTATAAGGTAAGGGATGACTGGTAATGGATTTCACAGATTTGTACTGTACACTAACAGCTGTCAGTGAGGTTTATACATTGTTCAGTTGATGTTTAGCTGTAACTGGCTGAACAATTTGCATTAATACTTGATTATTGATTTAAATGATGTAAATGATTGTGTCATACTGTGCAGCATTGTTTTAGATTTTGTGCTTAGATCAAAAACTACTGCACCTATTACTCCAAAAATATTGTTAGGTCCATCAAATGTCTGCAACGTTAAAAATAGTAACAATTTTTGTGTTGGTTTTTTTTCCGTTTAAAAATACTTAATAATTCAAAGGATTTTAATCAAGTTTACAATGTAATGTAATGTTTAGAAAAATAAAATCTGAAGTCCTGAACACTTTACAACCTTATTTACTAAGAAACTAATAAGGTTTATTTTTCGTCCATGAACTATAATTAAAAACCACCAGAGTAATCTCTATGAAAACCTATTGACAAAAAACTTCCCCAAAATTTCAGGAGTCCTGGGATGTAACACTTATCCGTGTCCTGGACATCATCACCATCATAGTTCCACCTGCTCTACCTGCAGCCATGACCGTGGGCACGGTCTACGCACAAAATCGCCTGAAGAAATCCAAGATCTTTTGCATAAGCCCACCCCGTATCAACTTCTGTGGGAGGATCAATGTGTTTTGCTTTGATAAGGTATTTTATAATGTTGTTTCTGTTGCATGGTTAACAAATCTTCAGCATGATGCTTTAGATAACTCTTCTAATGTTCCGCTAATTATAAGTAAAACCATGTTATTTGTTGTGGTTGACATCAATTATTCTTTAATGTAACAGACAGGTACTTTAACTGAGGATGGTCTGGACATGTGGGGTGTGGTTCCTGTGGAGAACAGAAGGTAAACATTGATCATATGACCGCTTAAAATAGACATCAGGGGAAGTAACTCAATAAAAATTAATCTGTACTTGTGTGTTGGTTACTCATTTACCTATTAAATTCAGTCATTTCAGATATTTTGTGTTTAGTTATGTTTACTTAAAAGATAGTATAAATCAAATTTAAGCAGGTGTAATGTGTTTTTAATTAGAGAAGTTTTTCATGTCACTTATTTAAGATACTAATGTCACTTTACTGGCTGTTCATTATTATTAAGAAGCTATGTGTGCATACAATCATTCAATTTGTCAGGTTTGAAGAGCCCATATTAGAGAAGCTATGTGTGCATACAATTGTTTGATTTGTCAGGTTTGAAGAGCCCATATTAGACCCGTCAACATTGCCTAGAGGACCACTGCTAGTGTGTCTGGCTGCCTGTCATTCCCTGACCATCATAGACAAGGAACTCAGCGGCGACCCCATGGACCTCATCATGTTCAACTCTATTAAATGGGTTGGTGCTCAGAAATGTGCATAATTATCCTACTTAATAATAAAATGTCAAGGTTTGATGATCCGTAGTCCATTTTCTAATCTAAAAATGAGATTACCTCCCTTTGTAAAGCTTTTATTATCTCCCTTGTTGCCAGCATCTAGAGGAGCCAGGGGCAGATACCCACAAGTTTGACATTATAATGCCCACTGTGGTGAAGCCATGCTCAGCTGAGACCTTCCTGGGTGAAGAGGTAAGTTGATCAGATTCTTCCAGATACAGGTGTACATTATTTACCAAGTGTACCTTCTTAAGTTTGTATAGACATTTTTGTGTTTAAGGTCATAGAGGGGTTTAGTTTATAATTTTATATTGGTATTTACAAAACTTTTGTTTCATTTGATTCTCTATGTTGGATAACATTTTAATTTTAACTCAGTGTTGATTGTTAAAGTTTTACCTGCTGTATAGAATACTTATCTGGATAGTTGTCTACTGTAGGTCTTATGTTAGTTGTCTATTCTTAGAGAGGTTTGTGTGCTTCACTGGTGTTACCCTATTGTTTTTGATGCATGTAAAGAACTTTTTTCTCACATCTGGCCTGTGTTTATTGTTCCTGAAGTTGGCCTTTTTAAAGAAGGCTGTTTTTTTAATAAAAAAAGCATAGTTTTAAACTTGCCCATTCTGCTGTATTGTTAGAACAGCTATAGTAATTTGTTGAGCATAAAAAAATCTGTTCTGGGGAGCATGAAAGAAATAGTTGTAACATGTTCCTAGTGTGCTATAACTTCCTCTAATATGCTTTGGGAGGAGGATGATAACAATTGCTGTAACATCTTACTCTAATTTTTTTGTGACTGAGCATAAAAAATAGCTGTACTACATACTCTTCTCGTAATTATGGGGCCGAGTTAAAAAAAAAATAGCTGTACTATGTGTTCCTCTAATATTTATGGGGCCGAGTTAATAAAAAATAGCTGTACTATGTGTTCCTCTGGTTTCCAGGAAGAGTTTGAGTTTCTCCAGCGTGAGGTAAGACAGACCTGAAGAGCTCTTGTTTTGTTCCCAGTTGATTGTTGCTTGTTTGAAGAGCTAGCAAGTTGTTGTTCACTCCTCTCCCTACAGCGTTCACAAATTTCCTGCCCAGGGGGGGGATTTGTTACATTTTGTCAATAACTTGTTGAATTTAATCTTTGGTTTCTACATTTTACTTTGTTCTAAATGATCATTTTGTTCAATTAGCATTAATTTATACAAATGTAATTTTATTTGTTTATTACATTAGTATACAAATAGACTAACCAGTAAAAATAAGCCTTAATTTCTTGTGTTACCACAGTAAATACATTAAATGTGCTTTGGTTAGGGTTACTGAAGTTTACATTACTGCAGTTTTTGTGAGGGTTACTGAAGGTTACATTACTGCAGCTATTATTAGGGTTAAGGAAAGTTATATTACTGCAGCTATTATTAGGGTTAAGGAAAGTTACATTACTGAGAAGTCACGCATACAATCCCCATTGCTTCTTTCCATACATTCCCCACAGTAATGCACATGCTAGGGTAAAACTTGTATTCTACTGACTCACAAAAAACCTGTTACATACCTGTAGCATCATTGGTTCATTAGTTGGTAGCATCATTGGTTCATTAGTTGGTAGCATCATTGGTTCATTAGTTGACCACCAATACACCCAAACATTTTGATGAATGACATCTTGGTAACATTTTAACAACCTTACTTGTTGCATATTTAACTGATGTTCACATAATTGATCATCTGAATTATGTGTAAGCTACTTTATAATATTCTTTAATTCCCTAAAACCGTTGTTTACTAAATCATTATCTTAGCATTTAGCTCATCAGTCCTATCACAAGCAAACTTTAAACACAGGTACAATATTAATCATCACACATATTTCTGTCCGGTATTGTTGTCTCTGGCTTTCTCTTAAAGAGTCCAGTCAATGATGAACAGCTTATGGCTACAGTTGTCTAAGGTTAATACATTGTGAACTAGGATGTTAAAGTTGGCAACACGAAATTAATGTAGTTACTGTTTTTCCATCTATTAAGTAAAGAACTAATTAGGACCCGTAATATCCACACACTAGTAATAAAATGTGTTTTTACAAACATGATCAGCATAAGCCAGGCAGCTCTGCAAGTGGCTGGCAGCAGACACTCTCCATACAAGATGAAAACGATGAGGAAGAAGAGGTCTACATTTTGGTGTTATTTTTTTCATCTGCGTTTTTTCTCTTAGGCACCAGTGGTTTTTCTATAGTATTTTCCTTGATGTTTTTCAAGCTTGTCTGTGTGTACTTGACTAACCCTAGCTGTCTGCATCTTGTACAACTAACAACAAGATTTATTTTCAGATATTATCAAAACTAGAAATGATATACAAGTTTTATTGTAGAGCATATAGATTTTTAAACCACATTTTAATTGATTTCATCGTTTAAAGTAATTTTTTGAAACATGTAATGATATAAAAAAGAATTGTTTAATAATTATTTGCCTTTAATATGACTACTACCCAATCACCCATTTGTAAACACCCCCCCCCCTCTTAATTAACTGAATTATTACTAAGATGATTTTAATTAGCTGTGATTATCATGTTAATATCATATAATAGGACACATTTTTTATTTTTAATAATTAAAGTAAAACATATTTCTTAAAAACGACACATCATTCTATATAATTAAAAATATTTAAGTCTGTGTCAATATTAACTGGTAAAATCAGATTCACTCTTTGGATGTTAAATGTTGGTGGGGGTAGGCAAATAGTGCCATTACTAACATCATTTTGACAGATATGAGTGTATATATTATTAAATGTAATGCATAGGTAGTAGTTTTACTGTACTTAATGCTTGTGTGTTGTTACTGCTTATATTGAGCAATGTGTTAACACTTGGCCACTAGGTAGATTGTACAGCTTGTGTGTTTGGGCTTTGGGCATGATATATATGCATGATATATATTCCTTAATTGGAGTATGTGTCCAGCTTGATGATATTAAAGCATGTGTTAGAATTTAGGTGAAGGATAAATAGGCCTATGGATTGTTGAGCCTGGATACTGCATGATAACTGTTCAAGATTCTAGATAATTTCTGTACAGAAAATTGCTGATGGAGATTAAAATTACTATTTATTAAAAACAACCAAGCATGGAAAAATATAATTGTGGCACATTTTGCTCACAAAATTTACCATCATTTTTCATCTAGAAAAAAAAAAAAAAACCTACTGCCTTAGCTAATGCTTTGTGTGATATCTACAGGACCTAGTTGTAGAAAAAAAATTGTGTGGTTTGGGATATGTTACTAACTTTAGGGATAGTTGTGTTTTGCTGAAAAACTAAATTTAATTTATATGGAAAAGTATTTCTTAAATCATTTATCTAAAACACATTATTGATATAAAATTCACTGTTTTTAATAAAAATGAAGATTTAACTAAACCTGACACCTCTGCAGCACCCGTATGAAGTGGGCATCATCAAGCAGTTCACATTCTCCTCCACCTCCCAGTGCATGAGTGTTATCACCAGGACCATGGGAGAGCCACACATGAACATCTTCTGTAAAGGAGCACCAGAAAAAATTGCCTCCCTTTGTAGACCTGAAACCGGTACCCATCACTTCATTGTTTAATGATAAAACAAATGTTGCAAAAAATGCAAATTCACTTACACAATTATTTTTCACCACATACTAAGTTTAAATATTATTTGCATGTTTAAGACTAGTTAAAAAATTTGGTTTTAACATATTTTCTCCCCTTGTCTCCCATAGTGCCTGCTGACTTCCATACAGTTCTGCATAACTACTCTATTCAAGGATTTAGAGTTATCGCCCTTGCACATAGGCCTATGGATCCTAAAATAACATGGCATCAAGTTCAGAGAATTTCCAGGTAGATTAATTCATTAGATTAACGAGAATAAGATTTTTTAATAGATTATATACACTTAGGGGAGTGAATGAGATTAAGTGATTTTCATTTTTTTCTCCTATTTTCAGAGATAAAGTAGAAACAGATTTAAATTTTCTGGGTTTGCTGGTCATGCAGAATCAGCTGAAACCACAGACTGCGCCAGTTATTCGAACTCTTAAGGATGCCAGCATTAGAACCGTTATGATTACAGGTGAGTTAGTTTTGACCAAATTTAGACGCCAGCATTAGAACCGTTATGATTACAGGTGAGTAAGTTTTGACCAAACCAGACATCACCTACAAAAAGTTTTATTCTCTCATTGAAACTGTCAATATCACTGTCTAAAGTGGGTAGCTGCTTCTTAATATTGTAACAAATAGTGGTTAAGCAAATAGGGAAATGTTTTTAATGATTTTAAACAAATATATAAAATTAAAAAATTACAATTAACTTCCAATTATAATTAAACTCTTTTGATATAATATTATACTTAAAAACTTATGATTCATAAAATATATTTTTGTCCAAGATATAAATACACTGAACCCCACTTATAAAAAAGATATTTATGTCCAAGATATAAATACAATGAACCCCACTTATAAAAAAGATATTTATGTCCAAGATATAAATACATTGACCCCCTACTTGTAATCACTCTTTCGAACGCAGGTGACATGCTTCAAACAGCCATCAGTGTGGCCAGAAACTGTAAAATGGTTGGTCGGGTGGACAAGGTTATACTGGTCCATGGGTACCCACCTGATAAGGAAAGCGGGGCCAGGGTTGTGTATGAGGAAGCTGAGCATTGTGGGCCATGTGCAGATGATACTGTTGACACTGGCAACGAGGTAAGTCAGAAGAGGGGGACACCTTTTATTTCTCTGGTGTATGCTTCAAATAATACAAATAATGGTGCTTGAAGAAAGTTGTTATGCACAACAGTAAAGCTGCATCTATGTAAGTAATGTTATAAGGATAAAAGTGACCAACTACAATACATACCAAATAACTATTAATTGTCTGCAGTTGTGTTTAAAAACTATAATTTAATTAAATATTTCTTATGTAATTAATTTTATTAAAGATATACTAAAGATTCTCCTCCATTAAAATGCTATTGATATATTGCTCTCCATTTGAAGAACAACATTCTTTTTCTAAACTTTATTAAAAAATGTTAATTTGTTAGTACCATGCAAAATATTGTGCTTTAAAACATCTTATTGCTGTGGTCTAGAAATTTAAAAACGTAGCCCAACAACAGTTGCGGAACCAAAAAAAACTACTTGAAAATTGTGTCACTGTAGAAGTTAAATTTTTTGTTGCATGTTTAAATTTTAAAAATTCAGTCCAGTTAAAAATGTGCTGTTTTGTTCTTTAATTTTGATGTTAGCTAGGTTTAGGCTATCATTTTCTGATGCAGCACAATAATTTATATAATTAATGTTGTATGGCTAATCTAACTACAACAGTGTGCGATCCTTTGCATGGAGGTTTCTGACATGGAACAGAATTTTTGTGTCATTAGAATTTATTTCATTAGAAGATGGAACAAAAAATATTTTTAAAAACTTTTTAAAATTTAAGAATAGAATTTCTGTTAAATAATATTAATATTAAAAATGAAGTAGAACTTTTCTTTCATCAATTTAGCACATATCTTGTTTTGTTTGTGAGGAGTAGAAACTGCTAGCTGTTTTATTTATATACCTTTGTAGCTGAACTACCAATGATATACAACCATTGCTTCTTTTTGTATAAGACTTGCTAGTGCCCAGTGAACATTATTTATACCAGTTTGTTGTGGTGAGACACAAACTCTCTAGTTGATTTAGTTCTTTTTATAGTACAAACTTTATTACTCTCTACTGCTGTTTCATGTGTATTTTTTATTTATTTTTTAAAATAAACTTTATGTATTGTAAGAAGATAATTAAAAGTATATTTGACAAAAACAATTTTCTTTTAAAAAATTATTATTTTACAAAATTGTTTTTCCCAACAGTCTTTATATTGTATATTCTAGAAGCCCATTAGTTTATTGAGAGTGTGCACTATTGATTGATTCAATATTTTAATATTTCTAAAACCTTTCAGAAGTGTATTATATCTTTGTTAGACTTGATTCTTGCCATTTGTTTCAGTACACTTTTCTGACCAAGTTTTTAAAAATAAATTGACTGGTTTTTGTTTTTGTATTAAGTTCTGTGTGTAGGCAATCAAAATATTTTACATTTCTGTTTAAGCCTTCATATATTTTTTTTATTCTTAGACACATTTTCTTTAACAAAGGGTCAGTACTACGTGTTATGACTTTCTGATGCCTCATTTTAAAATGCCATACTAGATCAAATCCAAACTAAATTTTTTAAACTCGGGCCAGCTTTATTCCGTACCTATTAGTTCATGAACATTTGCTTTGGATAAAAAATGAAGTAAAAATAATGCAGATATTATATATATATATATATATATATATATATATATATATATATATATATATATATATATATATATATATATATATATATATATATATATATATATATATATATATATATATATATATATATATATATATATATATATATATAAATAAAGTTGTAGTTGAGTTTTATAGTAGCATTCTAGCTCATCCTAGTCTAGTACAATGTAGTACAACCAGTGCTAGATGCTTCTTTTATCTTTACCTAATATTAGACTTAAGTATCTGGTTTTTTTGTTTTATTTCATAAGTTATTGGTTTTACTTTGCACAAAATGTATGAATATTTTAAAAAAATGATTTGTAGCAAGTTTCAGGTTTTTTAAGTTTTAATTCTGTTAACACTTAGTAAAGCCAATAAAGTAGAAACTGCTAGCATTATGGCTCAACATGTTTAAAGTGAGAGAGTTTTTAATGTACTCGGCATATTTAGCTGGTAGAGACTTATTTGAAGTGATCACTAAGTAACCATTGAAATTAGTTTTGACAAAGCAATTGAAAACAGTTTGGTGGTTGTGAACACAGTGAATAAAAAACAGGGGCTGTAGTGGTGGATTTAGTGAGCCATGACTACACAGGCTTATATATATATCAGATAAGTTATAGTAGACAATAGACTGTTATTTTGTTTATAGAAAAATTAAGTTAAAAAATAAACTAAATCCTAAAATTATGTTATGTTAAGATCAGTATAGTTAAACTATTATATATTGGCCTTAAGAGAATGGTAGAGTATAGAAATTATTTGTAGCTAAGCCATCAGTAAATGCTTAGTCAGCAGTAATTGTATAAAATTTGGCCATCAGTAAATGCTTAGTCAGCAAAATGCCTAGTCAGCAGTAATTTTGTATAAAATGTGGCCAGCAGTAATTGTATAAAATTTGGCCATCAGTACATGCCTAGTCAGCAGTAATTGTATAAAATTTGGCCATCAGTAAATGCTTAGTCAGCAGTAATTGTATAAAATGTGGCCAGCAGTAATTGTATAAAATTTGACCATCAGTAAATGCTTAGTTAGCAGTAATTGTATAAAATTTGACCATCAGTAAATGCCTAGTCAGCAGTAATTGTATAAAATTTGGCCATCAGTAAATGCCTAGTCAGCAGTAATTGTATAAAATGTGGCCATCAGTAGTTGTATAAAATGTGGCCATCAGTAGTTGTATAAAATGTGGCCATCAGTAGTTGTATAAAATGTGGCCATCAGTAGTTGTATAAAATGTGGCCATCAGTAGTTGTATAAAATGTGGCCATCAGTAATTGTATAAAATGTGGCCGTCAGTAGTTGTGTAAATGTGGCCAGGGTATGAACTAACCCCATCTCATGTCACAGAGCTCCCCACTGCTAGAAGAGAGCAGGCCAAGGCCGGCGGGATCGTATACGTCTCTAGGAAAGGTTTGTTGACCCATGGACACTTTCATCTCCAGTTACTGGCACACTTTTGTTTCAACTATTTTATCATTTCTTGGTTCCCTCATATCTTTTTTTTTTTGGTTGAGTTCAAATCTGTAACAAAACTCACCTGTAACAGCAGTACACCTGTAACAGCAGTTACACCTGTATCAGGTCAATTATTTTTGTGTCACATGCTGTCTACAAAATGGTCAGAGAATTTATTCCTTGTGAAAAAGATTATTTAGGTTAAAGGTTGGTTAACATGTCATGTGACCCTGCTTCAACCAATCATTTTTCTTGAACAAGGTTTGCTTTTCAGAATATAATTTGCATGATGTTTACAAACTAATACTGCACTTATGGAAACATATATATATACAAATATCAAACTTATTGGAGACTGTATTTTTTAAAATATTTTTGTTTATATTATTTAATCAGAAATGCATTTATTTTTATTAAAAAAAATGTTTATAAGAATTTTATTTTACTCTAATCAATTTTTTTTCCTGCTGATACTTAAAATAAATTCTAACTACCAAAATGTTTGAATGACTAATGTTTAAACTACTTTTTCTCCATAACAAAATTGATTTTTTCACACTATTTTTATTGTTTTATTTTATTCATTTGAAGTGTTATAAAATTATTTTAAGTCCAGTAGCTGTTGCCTTGTTGACTCAATTGAAAAATTAGAATAGTGTTGCGCTCAGGCGGATTAATTTACTGCAGAAAACATCTATAATTATTTTGTACTACAAAATTAAATTTGATGTAAAACTAAGGTACAAAAAAAAATTTTTTTTAGTAAACGTAAACAATAAGCAAGTTATTTGTGTTTTTTTTCATTTGACTGTTCTTCTTTATAAGCAAAATACTAAATAACTCAAGGAAGTCTGTCAGTTTAATTTGTTTTTGAGATGTGCTTTTCCTGTAGATTCTCAAACATTTTATCTTATTATATTTTAACCTTGTGCTTGGTTTTCATCCATGCCAGAAATACACAAGGGTCCATGTGGGGGCGCTGACACCAAAGAAACATCTGGCTGTTACAGGGAAATCATTCTCAGTTATTGCTTCTTATTTTCCAGAGTTAATGCCCAAGGTATATACAAATAGTGCAATAGTTAAAATGGCTTCCTTTAAACTAATTTCACATGTGTATAACATATATCTTTATATTTAAGAAAAAATATACATTTGTAAAACAATTAGAAAATTTATTTTGATTTCTCTTTATCAGTTAAAAATTGTTTTTTGCAGTTGTATTAAAACTAGTATTTACCATTTTGTTTCAGTTATGTGTACAAGGCACCATCTTTGCCCGTATGGCTCCTGACCAAAAATGTCAGCTTATTGAGAGCCTTCAGGATCTAGAGTAGGTGTTTTTTTCCCCAAAAATTTAATGTCCCAGAAAAAAATAACGTTTAACTGGAATTATTTTCATAAGATATTACAAAGAAGTATTGAATACTATCAGCCAAAGAAATATGTGTTGTATGTATTTTCTGTTTCCTTTATTTCCACCCATAGCTATACTGTTGGGATGTGTGGAGATGGTGCCAATGATTGTGAGGTAAGAGCTTTCTTTATTTTCTTTTTTTTTCAAATTTAATTTGTTGAGTTTAAAATCCAAGAACAAAATGACACAGTTCAACTGTTTGTCATATTCTTTATAATGTCATACTCTGGTTTTACTGATTAAAAAATGTTGAGTTTAAAACCAATTAAATTGTCTCTTGCCATTGTCTCTAGTAATGATCACATTCCATACTCTGGTTTCCCCTCAGGCCCTAAAAGCTGCTCATGCAGGCATCTCTCTGTCTGAGGCTGAGGCCTCTGTTGCTGCCCCCTTCACATCCAGTGTCAACAACATTGAATGTGTCGTCACAGCAATCAGGTTTTTATACATTTCTCATCTATACAACAAACTAAAAATAAAAAATAAATACATCTTTTGAATTCTTACTTGTTACTAGAACCCAGGAAAGGAAGAATTATACTTTAATCGTTTTTGTAATGTATTGAATATTAATTAGCCTATCCTTCATTTATTTTTTATAATAATTTAGATCTACCTTCTTTGCTCAACCAAGCTTTTCAAGTATTGAAAAAGTTTTATATCCTGCATAATGTTATAAAATAAATATAAGATGAAAGATTTTGTTAAACTGCATAGTGTTTTACGATAAAACTACAATTACAATTAAGCAGCTTTATATCTTACTAAACATTTTTCAACACATGATGTTATTTTTAAACATTCGGTTGTTGTAGCCCACCACAGAGAGTCAACACGTGATGTTATTGTTAAACATTCGGTTGTTGTAGCCCACCACAGAGAGTCAACACGTGATGTTATTGTTAAACATTCGGTTGTTGTAGCCCACCACAGAGAGTCAACACGTGATGTTATTGTTAAACATTCGGTTGTTGTAGCTCACCACAGAGAGTCAACACGTGATGTTATTTTTAAACATTCGGTTGTTGTAGCCCACCACAGAGAGTCAACACGTGATGTTATTTTTAAACATTCGGTTGTTGTAGCCCACCACAGAGAGTCAACATGTGATGTTATTTTTAAACATTCGGTTGTTGTAGCTCACCACAGAGAGTCAACACGTGATGTTATTTTTAAACATTCGGTTGTTGTAGCCCACCACAGAGAGTCAACACGTGATGTTATTGTTAAACATTCGGTTGTTGTAGCCCACCACAGAGAGTCAACACATGATGTTATTGTTAAACATTCGGTTGTTGTAGCTCACCACAGAGAGTCAACACGTGATGTTATTGTTAAACATTCGGTTGTTGTAGCTCACCACAGAGAGTCAACACATGATGTTATTTTTAAACATTCGGTTGTTGTAGCCCACCACAGAGAGTCAACATGTGATGTTATTTTTAAACATTCGGTTGTTGTAGCTCACCACAGAGAGTCAACACGTGATGTTATTTTTAAACATTCGGTTGTTGTAGCCCACCACAGAGAGTCAACACGTGATGTTATTGTTAAACATTCGGTTGTTGTAGCCCACCACAGAGAGTCAACACATGATGTTATTGTTAAACATTCGGTTGTTGTAGCTCACCACAGAGAGTCAACACGTGATGTTATTGTTAAACATTCGGTTGTTGTAGCTCACCACAGAGAGTCAACACGTGATGTTATTTTTAAACATTCGGTTGTTGTAGCTCACCACAGAGAGTCAACACGTGATGTTATTTTTAAACATTCGGTTGTTGTAGCCCACCACAGAGAGTCAACACGTGATGTTATTGTTAAACATTCGGTTGTTGTAGCTCACCACAGAGAGTCAACACATGATGTTATTTTTAAACATTCGGTTGTTGTAGCCCACCACAGAGAGTCAACACGTGATGTTATTGTTAAACATTCGGTTGTTGTAGCTCACCACAGAGAGTCAACACATGATGTTATTTTTAAACATTCGGTTGTTGTAGCCCACCACAGAGAGTCAACACATGATGTTATTGTTAAACATTCGGTTGTTGTAGCTCACCACAGAGAGTCAACACATGATGTTATTGTTAAACATTCGGTTGTTGTAGCCCACCACAGAGAGTCAACACGTGATGTTATTGTTAAACATTCGGTTGTTGTAGCTCACCACAGAGAGTCAACACATGATGTTATTTTTAAACATTCGGTTGTTGTAGCCCACCACAGAGAGTCAACACATGATGTTATTGTTAAACATTCGGTTGTTGTAGCTCACCACAGAGAGTCAACACATGATGTTCTTCTTCTTCGTTCTTAATTTTTGAATATGGTGGAGGAATTAGACAACAAGTCCAACTTCATGGACAAACCGGACTGTGGTTTCCAGTTTGTCAGGTGTCCCATATAATTTTTCCCTGAGTGGGGTGGGCTGGGGCCAGTGTCTGCCTCTTGCCTGGCTATACAGAGTACAATCCTGGAGTACGTGCTCCGTGTTTTCCGGGGCCTTGCCACAAGGGCACATTTCGCTACACCCAACCTTCAGTTTTTTGTGCATGTGTTGATTTAGTCTGTTGTGGCCTGTTCTAAGTCGAAAGATTATGTATTGTTGTTTTCGTGTTAAATTGTAATAGCCGTCGTCTTTAATGTAGTGAGGGTGTGTGACAGACCACATTTGCGTTTGTTTGTGTTTAATTATTCTTTTTATTTCTTTTGGGTGTAGCGAAATTTCCGGTTGTGGTTTCTTTCCCCCAATTTTTGCCAGCTGGTCTGCGATCTCGTTACCCTGGATCTGGCAGTGGCCCGGGATCCACTGCAGCACAATTCTGCTGCAGGTATTTTTTAGCCTCTCTAGTGCTGTCATGAGTGTTTGAATATAGGACTCCGGATTTTGTAGGGATTGCAGGACTGATTTGGCATCTGTAAGAAATACAATCTGACTATTCGGTGATTCAGGGTGTTCTGACAGGAGGTTTGCTGCGTGTTCTAAAGCTTCTTTTTCTGCCCTAAAATTGTCGGATAGGCTGCCTGTGGCTATTGCCTTTTCCAGGCTTTTTCCGCTTGGCCATTCAATAAGGATGCCAGCCCCGCCGTTTTTTGTGGCATCTTCAGCTGAGCCATCTGTGAAAACTCTAATCCAGGTATTGCTGGGGTACTGATCCTTAATGTGTTTATTTGTTATTTTCTTAAGTTCTTCTAGATCATAGTCAGATTTTTTTCCTATGGTGTCTATTGAGTCAATAATGGTTAAGTGACAGTGGGAGATCCAAGGCGGGGAGAGGTTTTGAGTTTTTATTGCTTCAGGAATGATATTTTCAATTTCATATTTCTTTTTCAGATTCTTTGCTTCTTTGATGAAACTTGTTCTTTGTAGTCTGGTTGATGGACTGGGTTTCTGGAGTTTTTGTTTTAGGTTATGGTTTTCCAGTGCCTCTAGCTTTGTGTAATGAGTGAGGATTTTTGATTCTCTTCTTTCTTCTATTGAGCTAAGAGCGGCTATTTCCTCCATAGCATTTATGGGTGTTGTTTTCATGGCTCCTGTCATTATTCTCAAACCAATGTTCTGAACTTTGTCAATTTTGCTAATATTTGTTTTTGCTGCTGAGAGTCAACACATGATGTTATTGTTAAAACTATCCACAGAGAGGGACGAGCAGCTCTTGTGACTTCCTTTGGTTGTTTCAAGTACATGGCGCTCTACAGCTTCACTCAGTTTATTTCAGTACTCATCCTATACACTGTGAGTTTTTTTATTAAAATTGTCAAGTTTGTAAACATTTTAGCTTTTGATAGATTTAAAAAATGAAGAATGAAATTTTGTTTCCATGTAGGCCTATGTTCATTTAATTAAAAGTGCTTACCAAATTACATTGAATTGACAGTGCCTGCCAAATTACATTGATTTATAGTGTTTGATCAAATTACATTGATTTATGTTACAGTATATGACCAATTTGTCAGATTTCGAGTTCCTGTACATTGATCTAATCATCACCACAACTGTTGCTATTTTAAGTGAGTACATCTGCAACTTTTTTATTTCATAAAAATCAAATCCTTAGTGTGAACATAGTGTTAACGAATTGGACCACTTTGTAGGTGATCTTTGGTGTGGCATTCTTTTTGTACAGTGGAAACTCTAACCTATTGTTTTTAAACTTTGATTTGTCTGTTTATTTTGTGGGAGAGTGAAACTTGTTCTTAAGTGACTTTTTGTGTGTGTTTATCCAGTGGGCAACTCCGCAGTTTAATGTTAAAGTGTCTTTATTTTTGTGTTTATTTAGTAGGAAAATGAAACTTATTCTTATAGTGACTTTTTTTGTGTTTACCCAGTGGGCAACTCCGCAGCTTACACCAAACTGGTGAGGAAGAAACCGCCTGGAAGTTTGATGAAGCTGTCCAACCTGGCGTCCATCTTGTCTCAAGTCATCCTGGTAGCTGGCTTTCAGATTGGTGGATATTTCTTCTACAGTCACACCCAGTGGGTAGATTTTCTCACTCAATACTTCAACCTAGTAGTAACATTAGAATAATCTTTCAGATTGGTGGATATTTCTTCTACAATCACACCCAGTTGGTAGATTTTCTCACTCAATACTTAAACCTAGTAGTAATGTTAGAATAATCTGTTACTTAAACCAATCAGTTTGACTCCTTGTGTTTTGTAGAAATTTAATTAAAAAAAAACATATTTACCACATTTTATGAAATAAGTGTAAAAATTTAAACCTAGCAATAACATTAGAATAATCTTTCATTTAAATCAGTCAGATTTATCAGTTGGATTCCTTGTGATTTATGGAAATGTTAATTAAAAATCTGAATTAGAAACATGTTATGAAAATAAATGTTGAAAAACTTTTTATTTTAAAAATGTATTAAGCTTAATATTTTTTTTAAAACTCATGCATAAATCTAATACCATGTAATGTTTCAGGGCCAACAACCCAAACTATTTTAACTACACTGTTAATAAAATCTAATACCATGTAATGTTTCAGGGCCAACAACCCAAACTATTTTAACTACACAGTTAATAAAATCTAATACCATGTAATGTTTCAGGGCCAACAACCCAAACTATTTTAACTACACTGTTAATAAAATCTAATACCATGTAATGTTTCAGGGCCAACAACCCAAACTATTTTAACTACACAGTTAATAAAATCTAATACCATGTAATGTTTCAGGGCCAACAACCCAAACTATTTTAACTACACAGTTAATAAAATCTAATACCATGTAATGTTTCAGGGCCAACAACCCAAACTATTTTAACTACACAGTTAATAAAATCTAATACCATGTAATGTTTCAGGGCCAACAACCCAAACTATTTTAACTACACAGTTAATAAAATCTAATACCATGTAATGTTTCAGGGCCAACAACCCAAACTATTTTAACTACACAGTTAATAAAATCTAATACCATGTAATGTTTCAGGGCCAACAACCCAAACTATTTTAACTACACAGTTAATAAAATCTAATACCATGTAATGTTTCAGGGCCAACAACCCAAACTATTTTAACTACACAGTTAATAAAATCTAATACCATGTAATGTTTCAGGGCCAACAACCCAAACTATTTTAACTACACAGTTAATAAAATCTAATACCATGTAATGTTTCAGGGCCAACAACCCAAACTATTTTAACTACACAGTTAATAAAATCTAATACCATGTAATGTTTCAGGGCCAACAACCCAAACTATTTTAACTACACAGTTAATGGCACGATGAACCTGGGAGTCAATGACGCAGAAGAGGCTAGGTCATGGGAGAGCACTGTGATTTTTCTCTTGTCCTCATTCATGTACATAGCCGTGGCCTTCACCTACTCCAAAGGTCCACCTTATAGAAAGCCTATTTACACCAATGGTGAGAAGCATTCATTAATTTTAACACTCACACCTTTGGCTAATTGATAATTTGGTGAGAAACATTCGTTAATTTTTACACTCACACCTTTGGCTAATTGATAATTTGGTGAGAAGCATTCATTAATTTTAACACTCACACCTTTGACTAATTGATAATTAAAAAGTTAAATATTTTAAAAAATCTGGTCCATTAAAGCGGATACCATAGTATGTTTTATGGCCTGGTTTATGGATGGTCTTATCAATACAAGCCGTGTACCCAATTTTTGGGTGGATTGTGGATGCCCTAAAGACTTAAGTCTGGGATCCCAACTTGAAACAATTGAACTAGATATCAAAATCTCTACCACAAGATATTGCTCAAGTAATTGTTAGTGCCCTTACATTGATTTTTTTTCCCCATTGCATCTCAAAAGTAAAAAAAAAAGATCTTGGTTTCGCCAAGCTTAACAGTCAGGGTTAAAGTATTGTGAGCAACGCCAGCTTTACAATTGTTGATATAGCTAACCTATTAAGAATTAAAAAAAATAGATTTTGTTTTGTTTATTTACCTGATCTGTATATTGAATGATCTCCCCTTTTTTCCCTAGTTCTCTACCTGGCCACGCTGGTTGTGCTGTTTGCCCTGTCCACCTTCATGCTGCTCAAACCTCTACAGCCTATCACAGACTTCATGGATGTGGGTGGTATTCATAACAGCTCAACTCCTCCATTAAAAAACCATACACACTCAACAATTATACAACCACACCACCCCCCAATTATACAACCACACACACACTCAACAATTATACAACCACACAACCCCTCCATTATACAACCACACAAATCCTCCATTATGCAACCACACAACCACCCATTATGCAACCACACAACCCCTTTATAATACAACCACTCAACTCCCCAATTATACAACCACACCAACCCCCAATTATACAACCACACAACCCCTCCCCCATAATACAACCCCCATACAATATAACTAGCATTAATTTATAAATGTGTCTTTACACAGATGAAGCCAATAGAAAACACGCCCTACCACTTTAGGATAACTCTGTATGGTCTAGCAATTGGCTTTATGATCTCATCATGTGTGGTGGAGGTGAGTCCTAAGCTTTTCTATTCACCAATTTATTCCATCTAAACACATCATTAACACATTTTTAATTCGCTTCTTTAATACATTTTTTTTGTTTCAATTCAGTCATAATTTTTTTTTTGTTTCATTCATTCATAATTTTATTTGGTTTCATTCATTCATAATTTTATTTTGTTTCAATACATTCATAATTTTATTTTGTTTCAATTCATTCATAATTTTATTTTGTTTCAATACATTCATAATTTTATTTTGTTTCAATTCATTCATAATTTTATTTTGTTTCAATTCATTCATAATTTTATTTTGTTTCACTTCTTTGATAAATTACTCTACATCCAGTCATGCTTTAAATTTTTACTTCATTGAAACATTTCTTTCTGCTTCACTTAAAAAAGTATTTTTTCTTCATCTAATAACTTCTTACAATAATTTTTGTCGGTACCCAAACAGTTTATTAAAAAAAATTTTTCCTCCAAAAATGTCTTTTACTAAAGTAAACCAATGAGTTAATGTCCAGGAAAGATTGTGTAACAGTGGACAATGACATAATTTCTTTCCTTACCTTGTAGTGGGTGATAGTGGACAGCGGATGGCTAAAGTGTCTGTACCGAGCAGTTGATAGGCTGATGAAGTCGCAGCCCAGCAAGTATAAAACTGTTCAGTTGGAAATCAAGGCTTTGGACTGGCCCTCTGTTGATCAAGATGTGGTGCACGGTAACGGTCTTACAGTAGCAGAGTCAGTGGTTGATGTTGACTGAATGTCAACTGAATCAGTCATCTATGTTGACTGAATGTCAGCTAAATCAGTCATCTATGTTGACTGAAGTTAAAAAATCTAAATCAGTTGACAATGTTGCCTGAGAGTCAAGCAACTGAATCAGTAAAATATTTTTCCAGTATTTTTATTCTTCAACTTGCTTTATAAATAAGCTAAATTTTCTCTTCTTTTTAAACTGTTATATATTTTAATATGCATTCTGTGGGAATTAATTATGTTAATACAACACATAGTCTGTAACTCTTTAGTTTTTTTTATTTTGATAAACATACTTTAAAAACTAGAGGTCCATTTATAGAGCTGATCACTGGAACATTTTCTCCACTGTGTCTAGCAGGTTTTGAGTTTCATACACTTTTTCTACGGCTTTTTCTTTTGTTTAATACTGACTTTTTTCCTTAAACAGTGCATTCATTTAGAAATCTATAACACTTTTTGAACAAATTTTTTTTAAACCACACAGATGTGTTGTGATATTGTTGTAAAAACAAACTAGACCATCAGTTTTATGAATGCTGTTGAGGTTGATTAAAAGCTGTCTAGAACGCTGGGGTCTGTGTATGCTGTTGAGATTGATGTACATGTGATGTATATAGGTGTTGATGTACTATATTTTTGCATAATGTCCAATTATTTTTTTTTTTTGGTTTTTAATATTGGCTTGATATTATTATTGAACTCTCAATGAGGGTATGTTTGTTTACATTTGCCTCTATATTTTGTACATAAAAACTGGTTGTCTGAGTTCTCTTCAGAAATGTGCAGTTATTGTTCCTTTAACTTCTAGCTACTCCATCCATGTTGTTCATAAGCTTTACATAAGTTATTCTGCTCCCTGCTATTCTTCATTTTATACCAATTAAAGGTGATGTATGTTTAGTGTAGTTTTAATCTTTTTAGCTTCATAGATTAGTATTAGTTTAAAGCTTAGACTAGCAACTTTTGTTTGAAATAACTTTACAGTCTTCCCTAACTCCTGTAGTATTCAAAGATTTGAAAATGTTGATTTTGGTGATGGTCGCAAATGTGGATATAAGTATTTCTATTTTAGTATAGAACATTTCTGTATGTCATTTATTGTGTTAACACTTACCAAAGTTAATTGGTATAGTACAGAGGTTTTGCCTTGAATGACTCAGTATTTATTTACATAATTATTTTGGACATATATAAAGTTAACTTATAGTAGTACAAACCAAAAAAAAGTTGTGATGTAAGTTTTCCCAATAATGTTGCATAACAAAGAGGTCTGTATTGTAAATTGATGGATAGATATAAAAATAAATTTAAAACCCTCTTTTAAATTACAGCCTATTATTTTGGCCTTAAGGGAAGTTGTATCAATATATGTGCATATAATAGTTGAGTGGTTCACTGTAAAATTTACCAGATGCAATTTGAACATTGTCTTTACAATGTTGGATGCTGTAAATATTTGATAAAATTTTGGTCTGACAAAAGTTTGGTCTGATAAAATTTTGGTCTGATAAAATTTTGGTTTGATAAAATTTTGGTCTGATAAAATTTTGGTCTGATGATGTCTTTCTGATGTGTATAAATTATGTAAGCTTAAAGCTGCAGGGCCAGCCAGATTTTTGTCTCTACTTTACCGCAAAAGTGCCTATCATTTATTAACAGAAACATTTTACAAATTATTTGTTTTTAGAGAAAGGTGGGATTTTTACAACTAAAATTTAAAACCGGTTGATGATTAATCATTCTTATGTCTGTCCCTTTATTCATAATAAAGTGTGAATTATTTTTAAAATATTTAATTAATAAAAATTAGTTTATTTTGTTATTTTTATGCTATTAATAAATTTTATAAAATGTAAAGGCTCAAATAAGATGGTAAGGTGTATTGTTTCGTTTATTTTTTTCTGTAAAGCTTTTTTTTAATTTGTAGAAGATTTTTGTTTATAATCATTTCAACTTTAAGGATTATTCTAGGAAATGTAGTTTACGGAGTTGTTTTGAATTACCAACCCAAATGATATATTAAAAATGGCTGCACAAACCTTGCTAACTTTCAATCTGTTCAATTCTTTTTAATCTTTCTACTGGTAAAACCAGCTATTTTTTTAACCTCGTGTTCAGTCAAGTATTGGGTTAACTAAATATTTCCTTTACTGTTCAATTTTGAATTCAGTAGAATGCTGGTTGAAGAAAAGTAAAAGAACTAAAAACTAGTCATTACTAGTCATAAAAGTACCAGTTGTCTTCTACTGGCATACACTGATACGTATGGTAAATTTTGGAATTCAAATGTACTTAAACAAATTATCCTGAAACAAATGGCAATGCCCGAAACACTATTTTACACAAACTGTGTTTGCCTCAGCATTTCATTGATATTTGCTTAATTGCAATAATTGTTTTACTTTTGAATAACTTCTTGCATTTCTTTTGCGTAAAAAATATTTTTTTTTGGTTTAAACAAAGCAATAATTTCGACCAATTACATATTCCTTTGATTTTATAACATGCAGTACCATTTTTGCCTATAATTTTCTTTGTTTAGCGGTGTAATTAAATCGCTTAGACTAACAATTATGTGCAACATATTGCATATTTTAATACAAACTAATACATAATCTCATTAAGTTTAAAATTTACAATTTTTGAATATTTTTGTATGTTGAAGTTTGAGCTGAGCCACAGGTTGTTTCCTAGGTTAGTCCCTTACAAGTGCTAAATTTAGAAATCCCTGTTTGAACTGTTGTTTCTATGGTGGTTTGTTTTTGTGTAGCAAACTTGTAGCAGTACCACCAGTACTGTGATATTTCCTTTCTGGTTGTTGTCTCACATTTGCTCAATTTGATCCTGTCCCAAGAATTCCAAATGGTCAAATTTTTAATGAAAACATTTGTTTTGTATAACCATTTTTACAAGTTGAAATGTATTTAGTTTCCTGTTTGTAACTTTTACATTTTGTACAGTGAAAGAGGATTAAATGATTGAAATTCTACCTTGAAAGGGTTAAAGCTCCAGCTTTAAAAGGTTAAAGCTCTAACCTTTACAACGTGGCTCTCATTGCCTCAACATAGGACTGAATTTTTATTTCACATCCAGTGGTGTTAAATATTTTATTACGGTTATTTGTATAATTCAACTTCATTATGAATTTTGTTATATTTTAAACTAACTTTTGTAAATAATTTAGTTAAAAGCTTTTGACTAGATCCTTCCTTAACTATGTTAAATTTAAAATAATTAGACTGGATCTTCCCTTGACCATGTCAAAAATAATTAGACTGGATCCTCCCTTGACCATGTCAAAAATAATTAGACTGGATCCTCCCTTGACCATGTCAAAAATAATTAGACTGGATCCTCACTTGACCATGTCAAAAATAATTAGACTGGATCTTCCCTTGACCATGTCAAAAATAATTAGACTGGATCCTCACTTGACCATGTCAAGTTTGGAATCCATTATTTTAGCTTTCAAATTGTAAGCCTTTACTCCGCCAAAAACCTAGGCTGTGGCCATCAACTTAGCTGTGATTGTGGCAGTCGGTGCCAACTGGTATTTTGTTGGCACTGATTGTAGGAGTGCCGACATGTGATGTCAGTGATTGTAGGAGTGCCGACATGTGATGTCAGTGATTGTAGGAGTGCCAACATGTGATGTCAGTGATTAACTAGTGTCAACTAGTTACATGCTGTTGACAGTGACATACTGTCAACTATGAAACAATTCATGTTCCTTAATTTCAAGTTTTTAAAATGATTTCATCAAATTGATGAAACATCACTGATATCAGCAATACTTCAAAATTAGGCATATACTCTGTGAATTTTACTACTACATGGGGTGATTGAGGTGTTGGTTGACATCATGATCATTTGAAGAACTTGACCAGCAGTGATACACTCATATAGCTTTCAATTGTTCTAAGCTGAGGATATTGTTCTTATGTCAATGTGGTACAAAATTTATCTTTTAGATATTTCAAAGGGAGGGGATTTGTATGGGTTAGTGAAAAAAAGGTGAATAAAATTATTCTGCTTTCCTTATGTGTTTTGTTGTCTATTTACTCGTTCAAATTGTCTTTCCCAATCAAACATTGGTTCAGCCATCTGGCAGTGAATTAGTTTTTACCACCCCCCCCCCCCCCCTCAAAATATTTAAAGAATTCCAGGTCTGAACAAACTGGTTGAAACAGGAAACAGGAGAAAAGTAACTATTACTACTATTAGCAAGAACAGTTTGTTTATTGCATATGTAACATTCACTTTTCAGAAAACTTAATTTTAATCTTTCTCCTGATTAAAAAAGTACAGGTAAAATATTTAATATACACATTTCATTTTTTTAATCAGTATTTAATTTATGTTCATATAAAATATGATTCTATGGCTCATTCTTCATTCAAAAATTAATTTTTAACAATCCTACTGTATGTAAGTCTTAAAAAAAGCTTTACACAAAAATATTTACATTATTAACATTTTACATAGAAATAACCGTGTATCAAAAGTGAACAGTTTGTTAACAAGAAAACCAGAAGAAAAAAAATCCTGTATTTATACAGAATTACTGCAAATATTTTGGAATGGATTTGACTGCATGACTGGACAATCTTTACACAAATATCCCATAATTTCAAGGGTTAAGATGAAAAATTACTACCATTGAAGTAAATCAATCTTCTATGTAAAGTGGACCTTGAAAGTTTAAGGGGTAACTAAAAAACGTATGATAGAGAAACAAAACTTAAAAGAGCCTCACAATAAAGTTAACAATAAGTGAGGAGTCCATATGCACAAACTACAAAGTTCAATTTTTCTTAAAAATGTGTTATCCCCCTTGAGACACCTATTATTTGATTATAGTATTTAGGTGATTTTTGTTAAACAAATCTTTTAACAGGTAAGTTTTCCAACTATAGTGATATGGTAGTTCTAAGATGATTAGTCTATACTGTAGGTCTTTCAATTGAATTCCTCAATTATTGCCAGATTAACTAGTCAGTTAAGGAATAATTTTGATTAAGATTTTTTTCCACGATGTCTTACAAATTTTTGTAGACTACATAAGAGCTTTCTTAAACCCAAATTACTTATTAATACCAATGTATCTCTATCATGAATAAGTTCATTAATAAAACTACTTTATTTACTTTTTTTGTGCTAAATACATAAAACGTGTTACAATGAACTGGACATAAAAACAATTAATACTGCATCACACTGTACAATTAAACTAGGATTTGACATTAAACAAAAATCTTTGAAACAATTTTAGTCCTTGTAGATGGCCTAATGCAAACAACTTCATGCAGAGAAGGCTAGGCTTGAAAGACTTAAATCTTTGAAACAATTTTAGTCCTTGTAGACGACCTAGTGCAAACAACTTCATGCATGAGAAGGCTAGGCTTGAAAGACTTCGTGCAATGAACAAAAAAATTATATTCAACAAAGTTTGCTGGGTACATCATAGTGCTGAACAGGGCAATGTTCCTTGTCTCATCATGGTGGCTTATTGGTTAGCTTCACTGGATCCCTGTTTCACTGGATCCCTGTGTTCAGACCATGCACATTTTTGGTACTGCTAGTTATAAGCCAGTCTTTGCTAGCCATAACACAAAACATGTGGCTCTATCAGTCTCATCAAATCAGTGTAACGACATGGTGTGGTCAGTCTCTAGCCACATAGTGACCTGGTTCAGTTGCGTACTGTTGAGCTTGACTGTCATGGGTTGATGTGGTGTTTGACCGCCTGAATGTTGGTCTGGCTGACCACAGGGTGGCCACATTGTGGACAGGTGTAGTTAGGATCTGCTGAAAAGTTGGCCTTTCAAGAGGAAACAAAAATTCTTGTTACAATATGCATCATTTCAATCCAAACAAGATTGTTAAAATAATTCTCACTGCTATTGTTTAAGTACTCTTAAAATTTGACAGCTATTACAGTCATTAAAGAGGTCATTTACACTGAAATCTCACACAGGTGCTTAAGGGGATCTGCTCAGAGATGTTATAAAAATGTGTATATCAGGTTTATTGATCATTTCTCACAATCTCTTGCTTTAAACCCCCCCCCCCCCCCCCCCCATCTGTTTTTCTGTTTACAAGTTTACACAAGTACGACCAAACTTACAGCAACACAATAATAGCAGAAGACATGGCGGCAGCCAATCTCTCTTGGCATGACAGGGCTCTGGTCACAAACAGCGCAGGACAATAGATCTGCATTGGTGCGGTGCCTCACATGACCTTGAGAGTTTGACCTTTGAACCCCGACCCATCGAGTTACCGTGTTCTTGATTCTTTGAAAGTTGATCAGGGGTAGGAGGAAAAAGAGAAACTCCTGAGAGAAAAAGACATAACTTTTAGTTGAAACAACAGTAAGAAAAAGATTTCAAGTCAACATGTTTTTAACTAGGTGCATCCTCTTCAAGTCAACACTTACATAGAATTTTATTGGCTCAATATTACACCTAAGTTTTTTATTGATGTTTGTTGATATTATCAAAAGTAATAATGATAAGACAATAAAAAACAAATGGGATTTACTTACAGAAAAGCAAATGGGATTTACTTACAGAGAAGCCATGCCACAGAAGTTCTCTGGTCATGTACTCATACCCCACCTGAAAACACAAGAGACATAATGGGTTTATGGGGAGGGTGTGGTAGTCCAGAACTATGGACACCACCAGGGGAGAATAGACATTCAGCTCAAGTGTCAAGTTAACTACACAAAAAATAACTACATGAAACAGACCATTTCTAGACTGTGTTCTATACTGAGCTGTCAATAAATTTACCAACCTTTACCACTACAATCATGCACCCAGCCCTATCTAACATGCCTCTGTCCCTATCTCACCCTCTGCCCCTGCCCATCTGTTTGCCCCTGTGCCCTACCTCACCAGTCTGCCCCCTGTGCCCTACCTCACCAGTCTGCCCCCTGTATCCTATCTCACCTGTCTGCCCCTGTGCCCTATCTCACCTGTCTCTGCCCCTGCCTGTGTGGGAACTGTGCCCTCAGCCCTAACACCCTCTCCACCAGAGTCAGGTAGACTCCCCTCTTGACAAAGACCAGGAGGTTGATCAGAGTGGACACCTTGACCACCGTCTCCACGTGATGCAGCCACCAGTTGACCTGCGGCAGACAGACAGGTATATACAGCGTGGGACTACTACATGTGTACATGTGTACAGGTCAATGTGTACATGTGGCAGTTAGATGGGACTACTACATGTGTACAGGTAAATGTGTACATGTGGCAGTTAGATGGGACTACAACATGTGTACATGTGGTAGTCAGTGTGTATATGTGTTACAAAAATTGTGTTATATTGTGAACTGGGGCAGAAAAAAAGTGACATGACATAAAAACCAACAATCTAAGAGTTTCTTCCAGGTATCTTTTCAAAGAAAGTCTACCCCCCCCCCCCCCCCCCCCCCACACGAAATGGAATTTCTATAGAAAATATATACTTTTAACTGCGTCCGCCCTCCCCCCTCGAAAATTTCAAGTGCCCCCCCCCCCCCCCCCCCTGGAGAAAAACCTCTGGAAGAAACATTACTAAGAGTTTTAATGCCACTCGTAGGATGGCAGCTTCAACTAACAAACCTCAGACTCCAAATGCCCTAGGCCACAGTAAGACAACAGTGTTGCTATCCGCTCCTTCAGCCAAGGGCAGATAATCACAAGAAAGGCATACAAGATTTTCTCCCTGCCAGTGATGCCAGCACCAGGATTAACTTTCCTTGGTTGTCTGTAGTAGATGCCCAGGATCTGTTGGCCAACAGTGGCGCCACTGTCATACAGGGCAAACTGTAAACAAAGGGTTAGAGATAAACTTTTAAAGCCACTGTCATAGAGTGCAAACTGTAAACAAATGGTTAGAGGTAAACTTTTTAAGTCACTGTCATAGAGGGCAAACTGTAAACAAATGGTTAGAGGTAAACTTTTTCAGACACCATCATAAAGGGCAAGCTAACAATATATGAGGACAGCTATGGTAGGGGACCTGCATTTAGAAAGGCAGCATTGACACTGTGCTGACCACACTATTCCTATACTACTGTAGCCATAGAAAGAGATGAACTCTACTTCAGCTGCCATAAAGTCTCTATATGTATTTATTGAAGGCAAACAATACATGTTTAGTGTCTTTTTCCTGGCCAGATAAAGCTCTTTATTGTCACTACGCTACCTACAACATAAACGAAAGGCGCCACTAAGACCACACAACTCTACCATTCACACTAACGCGCACACAACCCCACACATCCGTTTTGGCATTGATCAGCTAATCGATATCGATTTTTTGGTGTAAAATTTCTTGGAATTAGCCTGGCTACACTCCAGAACTGTTTTCAACCCCCCCCCCCCCCCCAACTATGTGAGACACACAAGGATCTTGTGTCGCGGTAATAAAAGGCAGGCAGACGTTCCCGGTACACACAAGATTTGGTCTGGAGATTATAGGTAACTCTGGCAATAAAACACTTTAAACTGAATTACTTCCCTTCGCCCAGTAAAACCCGCTGAATGACGTATGTGTCTAGACGTGTTCACCAGAGTTGAGCAACACATTGAGCTACAGCCTAAAAAATAATGTCGCGGCATGTTTGACTGAATTTGTTGTTGTGAGCGAATGTCTAGTTCAACTGTTTTAGAACAAGACCAATATGTAATCACAACTCTAATACACGTAAGATAATTTCATTGCTAAAGCTCCTGAAATCTTAAGATTCTGTTTTTTATTTTTACTTTGTTCGCCATAATTTAAAAAAAAAAATTCTCATTGATAATTACAGCGTATGAACACCCCCTTCCCCAACACATGTATTAAAATAAAAATGTATCTAACTAGTAAGGGCAAGCAAGACTTAGATCCCCCATGTGTGTCTTCCTTTTAAAATGCTAATGCTGCCAAAGTGTGTATGATAGTCTTTCATAGATCGGCCCGAAGGACTAGTTAGTCGCTGAGGGCAAGAAACATCACAAGGTGAGGGGTTGTGGGGGTGGGTGGAGAGTAGATCCTTGGTGACGTTTGTACGGACCACTAGGTCAGTCGGTGGACCCTTGTACCGACCACTCAGTCTGTGCGCCGTATGTGGACATGTGAGTGTATATGACATATGTATGTCAGAGGGTGTAACACATGTGATGTATGCTTATGTATGACATTTCAGTGTGTTTTGTGTAGGCAAGTCTATGGGCGATATCTTGAACGTGCACCGTACTGATAACCCAGGTAAACAATAAGGAAAGGGGGGTAATCCAGAGACGTTATATTCTACTGGTAGCGGTCGATCATGGGAATATGGTGGTTTACATGGGGTGTGAAAAGTATATGTGGTGGCTTATGGGGGTAGGGTCTGGTTTATGGGTCAACATGTGGGTCATATGTGGTTACATATGAACAAAACATCTCACGAAGGACAGCCGAGTATTCGCCTACAATCCTCTGGTCTAAAACTGAGCAAGACATAAGATAAAACTAACCCCATACGGCCCATAAATGGTACACATTGGGATAGTTTTAAGACGGTGGTTTAATGGCTCTGTACAGCAATATTCGGGTGTAAAAGGGTTAAAGGCACAATAAATTTGCCACTTGGGACATCGAAGTGGTGTGAAAGAGGCGTATAAGGTTGCTAAAACTGTACAACCACATGGTGGCACATGGCCTGGGGCCTAAAAAATAAAATCATAAAAAAAAAATAAATAAAGACAACAAACGCAAGCGAGTTTTTCATTATTAAACATTAACACAGGTTGTTGCATGAGATTTTTCAACTTGATTATTGTTAAATGAAACTCAAATAATTAAACATTTCACCAGTTCTTTCCCTTTAATATGATAAAAAGTTCTACAACCAGCGTGAATAGGCGGCCTACTGAGTTCTTTGCCAGAAAACAACACAGGACCCCTCCTACACTGGTGGCGGAGGGGCGGGGCCTGACCGCCATTATCTTTTTATTTCACACCTGACTGGTGCCACAATCACAACAATGTCACACGGAGATAAGAAAAGCTGTGTTGTCGACAGTGGACATTATATCTCATGACACAATCCACACTGACATTTGACCCGAGGAATGATCGAAGTTATCACACGCCAGTCTCAATGGTGGACGTGGCTATCTGGGCTGTGGCCAACAGAGGGTGTGGGTAGGACGTACACCCCTCACGTCCCTGACAGTGGGGGTCATTTAAAGTAGAAGGGTTGGTTGAACAGGAAGAATCCTCGGGGGACGGGGAGATATTGGGGTGATGTTCTTGATAGCGGCTAATGCGTCTTAGCCACAGGACATTTAAATCATTTATCATTCTTCATAGGAGTATGGGTCATTCGTCATTAGAATTGTGGGCTCTAATTCCTTAGATTTGTAGGCACTAAGTCATTAGAATTGCAGGCCCTAAGTCATTAGAATTGTGGACCCTAAGTCATTAGAATTGCAGGCCCTAAGTCATGAGAATTAGGGGCCCTAAGTCATTAGAATTGTAGGCCCTAAGTCATTAGTATTGTGGGCGCTAAGTCATTAGAATTGTGGGCCCTAACTCATTAGAATTGTGGGCCCTAAGTCATTAGAATTGTGGGCGCTAAGTCATTAGAATTGTGGACCATTAAGTCATTAGAATTGTGGGCCCTAAGTCATTAGAACTGTGAGCCCTAAGTCATTAGAAGTGTGGGCCCTAAGTCATTAGAATTGTAGACAGTGGTCGCCATGCCAACCTCTGATCCCCCCCAAAAAAACCATCACAAAACTGCGATTATCCACTTAACAGCTTCACCAACCCAACCGTCTGGACGGCAAACTTTGCCCTGGAACATTTAGCTGCCCAATTAAACACACAAATAAGCAGTTTAGTCTTTCCTTTAACTGAAATAGGTAAAGTTTAGACTCGAGTCTCGCGATAAGACTATCAAAAAACTATTATTGAACACGTCTCATCGATCGGCAAACATGGGAGAGCACTGCGAATTTTCCGATCCTTGAGTTATGGTTCCTGCCGGTGTAGGGGACATAAGCAGCACAACGCAAACAACAACACGGGCACAAAATGGAGACAGTCTGAAACAACGAACACAAGGCACAAGAACTCAATCATTTCTCACACAAACCTACTGAAACAACACGAGGCTAGATGGTGAAATTTTAAAACCGTGTAAACATTTCTCTGGAGGTGATATCGATGAATCGATACATGATTGAAGCCGACGATTGATCGATCTCTGAAGCCAGTAGCGTTAAAGGGACTAGGAGCGAGACCAGTGGACAACAACACGCCATCTGATACATGTGCTGTCACGGGTAAGTCACTGTTTCTTCTGCCATAACGTCACACGCACACACACACACACACGCAATAAGCCACACGGATCACGTGGGCAGACTTAACACACACACACACACTGGTAGTGAGGGAGTCTAGCAAAGACTAGGACCCAGGGACGCGAGTTCGAATACCTCACAGCCAGACATGTTACGACAATTCCTCTTTTTAAGTCGTGTAAAACACCTTTATGTGAGCTTCCATTACAACACAGTAGGGCACATATAATTAACATCATTCTACCCCAAGACAATATGTCACATATATTTAGATGTTCGTGTATTCCAACATAATTCTACCCCAAGACAATATCCAAGACAATATGTCACATATATTTAGATGTTCGTGTATTCCAACATAATTCTACCCCAAGACAATATGTCACATATATTTAGATGTTCGTGTATTCCAACATAATTCTACCCCAAGACAATATGTCACGTATAGTATAGATGTTCTTGTATTCCAACACAATTCTACCCCAAGACAATGTCACGTATAGTATAGATGTTCATGTATTCTAACATAATTCTACCCCAAAACAATATGTCACGTATAGTATAGATGTTCATGTATTCTTACATAATTCTACCCCAAAACAATATGTCACGTATAGTATAGATGTTCATGTATTCTAACATAATTCTACCCCAAGACAATATGTCACATATATTATAGATGTTCATGTATTCTGACATAATTCTACCCCAAGACAATATGTCACGTATATTATAGATGTTCATGTATTCTGACATAATTCTACCCCAAGACAATATGTCACGTATATTATAGATGTTCATGTATTCTGACATAATTCTACCCCAAGACAATATGTCACGTATAGCATAGATGTTCATGTATTCTTACATAATTCTACCCCAAGACAATATGTCACGTATAGTATAGATGTTCATGTATTCTAACATAATTCTACCCCAAGACAATATGTCACGTATAGTATAGATGTTCATGTATTCTAACATAATTCTACCCCAAGACAATATGTCACGTATAGTATAGATGTTCATGTATTCGAACATAATTCTACCCCAAGACAATATGTCACATATATTATAGATGTTCATGTATTCCAACATAATTCTACCCCAAGACAATATGTCACGTATAGTATAGATGTTCGTGCATTCCAACATAATTCTACCCCAAGACAATGTCACGTATAGTATAGATGTTCGTGCATTCCAACATAATTCTACCCCAAGACAATATGTCACAAATATTATAGATGTTCGTGTATTCCAACACCCATACAACGCACCAGTCGTGTATAACACAATATGTCACATACAGGTTGCTTCATTATTCACATACTCTAACATATCACATACACTTAACAATTTATGCAACTACACACGATATGTTGCATATGTGTTAGTTGTTAGCTGCCTTACACCCCACTGTAACATATATTCATAGTCATGTCAGTAACACGTACTTTTTAAAGCTAGTCTTGTACTCCGTT